TCAGTACACAACCACCATGTACTGGTAGGATCATGTGGTTATCCCACTAAGTGTAACACACATTAGTCAATACAACAATATAATCACATGCACATATTGAACATATACAATATCATCAACATATACGAACAATGAACAACTTCACGATTCTCACATATCACAGTTATATCAATTTAAAGCAATATACCGTCTTCAAACATCAATCATCATTAAATATGAACGAACTCATCACAAGTAGATACACAACATAATTAATGGTCCTCTCACGGAACCTAATTCAATGGTCCTCTCATGGAACCCAAACCCAAACAGTTATCATGTCGCAACGTGGCAATCCGATCCCATATTTATGCCGGAACGTGGCAACCGATCCCATAATTATGTCAGAATGTGGCAATCTGATCCAAGTTAGTTATGTCGAAACGTGGCAACCGATCCCATATTTATGTCGGAACGTGGCAACCGATCCCAGTTAGTTATACCGAAATATGGCAACCGATCCTATATTTATTCCGCAAGGTGGCAACCGATCCCAGTTAGTGTGTGGGATCGTGACACCCACCCATCCAACAAACCACAATCACAATCAAAATGTATATTCTCACAATCATACAACAAGAGGTGATTCATGGCATACAATTATTCAATTATCCTCAAGTACAACAAGTGTGATCAATAATGCAACATTCACATTCATACATGTATCATAATGAAGCAAGAACAAACATGCATCACACAATCATAGAATCACAACCATTACCTACCTTGAATCCAAGCTTGAATCCCCTAAGGCACTTGAATCTTCCCTTTCCGGATTCTTTTCAATTGTTCTAGGTCTACAAACAACAGTTTATATGCAAGGATCAACAATCAAAGGTGTAATTATCCGGATTATGACAAACCCAATAACCCTAAACCAAACCCAAGATCCTAATACCCAATTTAGGGCTTTTTCCACTATACAATCTATAACAAAACCCTCCCCCATCAATAATCACCTATTCTAATACGTTCTACGAATCGAAAAATGGATTCGCGGAGTGAAAAGCTTACCTTTAGCCTCAAGAATGGTGAAAAATGAGTAAGAGTCACCTAGGAGTCGTTCCTTAGCTCAAAAAGTTGAAAAGTGCATAAAGAGGTTGTTTAAGGTTTTATTAACGACTTTAATTTGCGTCGGGCTAGACACAACGGCCACCCCCTCCCCCCGCCACAACGGCCTCGCCAAAACAGCAAAACCTAGCGCCAAAGCGACATTCTTGAGACAGAGAGTTATTTGAAGAATTCCAAAATTCCCATTTCATAACACACTTCTAACCCACGACGCTAAGTAAATACCCTTTATGCTAAGATCGATTCCGGGAGCTCTACTCGCCCGAATTCAATTCCGTAAAGTCGTACGGATTCCTTAACGAGTTATCTAACTACTCGTGTAATCAAAATCATAAATGTTTCACCCGATTGTTACTAGATTTCCCTACACCTTAAAGACTCCGATTTCAACCAAATCTGGACTAGGCTAGAAAATTCCAAGTTACTACGAAAAAGTTTATGGCCCCAATTCTTTCTCCATTGACTTTCCATAACAACGGAAATCAGTTCGTTATAAATATTTAATTATTGTTCTTTTCTAATCTTGTAAAAGTATTATTGTTAACTTTTTTCTAATTCTGCAAAATAATACGTAAAGTAATATTGTTAAATTTTATATATGAGCAACTTTTTATGTTTCAATTCTTTTATATATTGTATATTTATTAGAAATGACTAATTCACATTTACAGCAAATCAAGTTTTAAATTTCAGGTTCAAAATATTTTAATGACAGATTTCAATGGATACCCAATTTAAATATCCACTAAACAATCCTTAAATTTAGATTACATGATCTCCTATCAGTATTTCTATTCTTTTAGATTTTTCTCTTTACAAGTCTTTTTAAGAAATTATAATTAAGAAAATTGAGTTTACTAATTTATCCTTTAAGAAATTTGTTCGGAACTTTACAAACTTGTTTATTCTTTCTATTCTATTTGCTTCATCTTGATTTTGATTTGCATTTTTTCATCAATTACTTTGAAAACTAGGTTTTTTTGGAGTTGCAGATTTTGATTTTGTGGGATAAGGCATAAGTACCCGCCTAGACTATGATCGTAATCTCAAAGACACACATTAACTAAACTAAGGTCCTATTACCCCCCTGAACTCATTTTTTATATAATTTTGTACAGCTTTTGGATTATATGGCATACTCCATGACTCCACATAGTTCAAGCGCGCGGGAGATATTTGGATGCCACGTAAGTCAAAAAGGTGTACAAAATTACAGAAAAAAAGGGTTCGGTGGAGGGGGGGGGGGAATAGGACCTTAGTTTAGTTAAAGTGTGTCTCTAGAATTTCGGTAATAGTTTAGGGGGTACTTGTACCTTTTCCCTTGATTTTATTTGATATTTTTCGTGTCTCACTGCACAATTCATTTGTCTTTCTATCTATCTTCCTACTATCAAAATTGTTACTTATATTAGTGATATGCAAAAAATTGGAATTTATAATACTTTTCCGTATAGTTTTGGAATATTAAAATTTTTTCTTTAAAATATCAAATTAACACAATCTTATTTCACTTTGAAAATTAGTTGAATTAACTTTCGAAAAGTGCAACACGACAATTAAAAGTGGACAGACGGAGTAGCACTCAACATATTTATGTCAAATTAATAAAGTATACGGAAAAGCGCCAAAAATAACCTTAGACTATTTGAAAATGTTTAAATATACCCCTCATTCATTTATTTTACTAAAAATATCCCTCAATACACTTTTTTGGCCTATTTTTACCCTTAAAACTTGATAGAGTTTTTAAATTTGTTATTATTACTATTATTTATAATATGCCGTATAAGCAATTTTAGCTAAAAGTTTACACAACTACTACAAAAATATCATGAGACATACACAACTCTTTTTGAAAAAAAAAAAAAACATGTGTGGAAAAAGAAAAAGGCTCCTTACATAATGATTACTAAATAATTTTTCTCCTATTTGAGATTTGGAAGGAAAAAAAAGGCTTCATTTTCCTAATTTTATGCGGTAACATACATTTAAGTTGAATTTTTACAATTTCCTAATTTGACATTGTTTATGCAAAAACAGATTTTCCTATCGAACTCTTTTTTTTTCGTTTTTGACTTCCTACTACAACTAGGATGGTAAAAACCTAATGCTCTATAAATTAAGAGCTTCAAACTTCTTATACATTATAATCATTCAAATCTCCTTTCAATATTATTCTCAACAAAAACAAATTAACATCTCTTATTCAAATATATTTTTACCATCATGTCAACAAAGTTCTTAACTCTAAAGACTTGTGATGGTAAGGAATTGTACTCGACGAGGCGATAGCCACTATCAAGAATATAGTTGAAGACTATTGTGTTTCGAACGTCATTTCCCTACCTAATGTCGATAGCAATACAATGACCAAAGTTATCAAATACTAGAAGAAACATTCGAAGGAAGACGTCTCCAAAGAGATGTTGATCGAGTTTGACAAGGCTTTTGTGAAGGTACACCACTCGATTTTGCATGCTCTTATCTTAGCTGCTAATTTTCTTAACGATAAGGAGATATTGGATATGATGTGTTAAGAAGTTGCTGAAAGGATTAAAGGAAAAACACCAGAAGAATTTGATATCAAGAATGATTTTACTGCAGAGGAAGAAGAGGAGATCTGTAAAGAGAATGCTTGGGCGTTTGAATTATTTTATAGCATTTTGGTTTGTTATCGCGGGAACATCCTTCGGTTCTGTTTGCAGATCAGGAACATTCCCAATTTATCTTTCTGCTCATTGGGAGAACTCTCAATAGATTGATTTCCGAGAGTCGAGGTGGAAGTAGATGGAGACTGGGGAGAATAAAAAACCTAGTGCATCTTGCAGGGTAATAATGGATGAGCTCAACATATAACAATAGAAGAAATCAATTATTACAATTGCTATGAAAACATACTTGTAATATTCCAAATTTTAGGGCAATATTTACTACGGCTTCTCAAGTAAATGTATCATTGACCAAAATTATTACTAATTAAATGACTCTATGTATATGTAATGTATCAATATTATATAAATAGTGTAAGATTGTATATATGTATGATAATAACTAAATCACAAACACAATTATTTAATATTTATACATTATAATGCATCTTCCTCACGAGTTGAATTTTTTTTCAATACCGACTAGCTCAAATCTCCTCTAAATAGTCCTAAATTGTAGATATAAAAAAAATTGATGTTTTATAAACGTAAAACAAATTATAAATTTATTATAAAAAAAATTTAAAAATGAAATTCTTAAATAAAATTTAACCAAACTTATGAAATATGTTAATTAATTATTAAGAAATATAGTGGTCTATATGAAAAGGATATGTAGTCTTGAGAAACATAATTTTTGTTTCTGCCTCTACTTTATTAAAAAACAGAAACTTAGCTTCTTCCCAACCGCAAAAAAAAAATGCTTTTGCTTCCATTTAAAAACACTTTTACTTATTTGTTAAACACTTAATTTTTCAATAAAAGTGTTTTTTTTTTTTCAAAAGTGTTTCTGACCTCCCAATACCAATGACAAATAGGCTTTTAAGACATATTATGTAAATTTTGCAAAACAAATTTATTAAACTTCAAAAAGGGAAAAATAATAAGTTTTGGTCTAGATAATTTTGCTTTCCATATTCCTATTACAACTTTGGAAAGTAATTAAAACCTAATACACTAAAAAAGACCAAGCTAGTCTCATGTATTGAAATTATTCATTCATAGTTCTCTCCATTTTCTTTCATGTCTTCAAAAAAGCTAATAACTCTCAAGACTAGCGATGGTGAGGAATTCAAACTAGACAAGGTTGTAGCTATGAGGTCAGAAGTCATCAAGAACATAGTACAAAATGTGGATTGTACTTCTAATGTCATCCCCTTGTCTAAATTTAATGGCAAAACAATGACCAAAATAGTTAAATATTGGAAGAAACATTCGAAGGAAGGTGTTACCGAAGATCAGCTAAAGAATTTTGATCAGGATTTCTTGAAGATGAGCCAGTCAGAATTATTTGATGTTCTCCTGGCTGCTCAATTTCTTGACGATAAGCAATTGAAGGAGGTAATGATTCAACAATCTGTTGATAGTATCAAAAGGAAACCAATAGAGGAAATACGTGAAGTATTTGGTTTCGTGAATGATTATACTCCAGAGGAAGAGGAGGAGGTCCGTAGAGAGAATGCTTGGGCTTTCGAATGATTTTATAATATTTATGTTACTTCCTTAGCTATATCCTTTTTTTATTTTAATTCTGTTAGTTCTATCTTTCGATGTTCCTTTTTGAAGGAAATGTTGTTCGATTTTGATTGATTTATAAATTATGTTGGAAAGAAATTAAAGCTAGTTATATTGTTTGAGAAAAAAAATTATCCTTTCAGATTTATTTGTCACTCAAATCTTATCTAAATAGTCCTAAATCGATGTTTCAATTCTTTTAATATATTGTATATTCGCTAGAAATGACTAATTCACATTTGCGACAGATCAAATTTTAATTGAGGTTAAAAATGTTTTAATGACAGATTTCAATGGACATTCAATTTAATTCTCCACTAAAAAATCCTAAAATTTAGATTACATGATATCCTCTCAATATTTCTATTCATTTAGATACATTATTCACTCAAAATAATTCATGTGTGTGGCGATATCACATTTTATTATTTGAACTTACCTAAGTGTCAGATCAGAGAAGATATGAGTAGACATAGACATAATTAGTTAATGATCAAATGATCTTTCTATTGATTACTTAATGATCAAGTATAGAATCTTGGTAATTAACCATTAATTGGGTAATTTTTTGTTAGAACATTTGACTAAATGGTCATTCTATTTAATTATTCAAATCTACTATGACTAGTAGTAATAACATACCATTTAATTTAAAATATAAAAAATTAAATTTGAATTGCAATACAATCTTTTGTTGTTGAAAGATGATAATATATAACTTTTAAGTTTCACCTCTAAATTATAAGACCTAGAATAGTTTTTCCTCTTAGACCGTTCATGTTGCGAGGATAATTAATATACAAATAAAAATAATATGATGAACCTTCTCATATTAAATATTAGACATTTCTATTTTTAAAAAATCATAATAAAGAAAATTGATTTTACTAATTTATACTTTAAGAAACTTGTTCGGAACTTTACAAACTTGTTTACCCTTTCTAAAATAATTAATTGTAAGAGTAAAATGGGGAATTGCGAAACAACTCTCTTTGTTAAAATTTCGACTTTCTGTCTTTTTCACTCCCCAATTTCTTCTCTTCGCTTTTACCATAAGAGGGGGGGGGGGGGGAGGAGTAGAATTAAAATTTCCTTCAGTCAAGTCACCTGCACGATAGTAGAGTAGATAAACAGTAATAATAATGTGCAGTAAGTAAAAACACAACTAGTTTTTAAACTGGTTCTGAACACCGATGTGGTGCCTATGTCCAGTCCCCTAGGGTTTCAAGGAATTCCTTTAGAGCTTAGGAATGAACTTCGGATGTTACTGAGTTCTGTAAATTGATCCTTTCTGATATGCAAATCAGATGTTCTACCTTGACACTTCCTCCACTTGTAAACCTACACTTAGAATCTTTCTTTCTCTTTTCTTTTCAATTGTTCAAATCACGTGATTACAAAGCTTTATGAAAGATAAAAGAAGATTACACTATAAGCTCAAGTGAAGTTGCGTCCTTCACACTTAAGTCTGACGGAGGTATGAATAGACTTGTGCTCTTGTAAGGAAAACCCAAGGGTGTTATGTTTCAATCAGGGATTTGACGAATCCCTTGATTGAGGCGATTTGTTGATCCATGTCCATATTACATATGTGCATGGTAAATCGCATTTCTTCTTTCTTGACTGATATGGCTTGATTTTGTGCTTGGCTAGAAGATTTATCTTGACTCTTGGCTTGATATGCTTTCCTTCCTTCTCTTGGTGACTTTGCTCTATTCTTGGCTTGATTTATGATTTCTTGATCTCGTCCTATCAATCAAGATTAGCTTGATTGAGCTGTTGTCAGTTTTTGGCAATCTGTTATTGATTCTCAATACGTTTGATTACGCCATTCCTTTCTATAGTATTTGTAACGATCAAAATATATCTCTTTCCATGTTGGTGTTGTTTTCTTGGATCCTTTCATTATTGGATTTCTTTGCTTGTGAGAATTGTGAGTAATTGTTAAGTGTCATTTATCAAAATTTACTAACACTAAGGAACTAACAATCACCCATTTTCTATAATGACGATTAATTCACAATTTTAAATAGAGTGTAGAGAGACAATGATAATTACCTGAGCTAAGGATGTATGTGTAGCTCCCCCTATATATGTGGCTCCACTTGCCTTGAGAGCCTCATAAATATGTTGAACCGGTTCCCCTGTCTTCAGAATTGTGGCAAGTTTTTCCCCCTTTGGCATAATGAAAAAGAACAAGGCACATAATATAAACAGAAATAGGTAAAAGCAACTTAAAGTAGAGTGGTCAAGAGGTAAGATAGTCCTTAGGAAACAGTCCAAAAGAGAGATTTAGGGACAGACCCACATTGAAACAAGTCCAAAACGAGCAGTTAAAATAAGCATTCAAAAGCCAGAGGTTAGCGATCACCCAAAAAGTACGTTAGGGTGTTGATGTTTTTCCCACAAAAGGAATTTTACGAGCATTCCACATTTCGTGAGAAACTAGAGTAAGAGGTCTGAACTGTAACTGCAAGATCATTGTTAGAGGAGGTGACTCCACTTTTGAGAGAGTCAACTTGTCTGATAAATTTTTTGATTGTGGAGATCCCTTCATGTTTAATTCCAGTCATAGCAGTGCGCAGTTTACCCATATCGGTGGTAGAGTCCTTCTGTAGGACAAAACCTTTTCAACAGTATCGTGGAGAGTCTCCAATCCATGTTCTACTCCAAGAAGCCTGGTTTTGAGTTCATCATTGTCCTGCATCAGAAGGGCAGCAGAGTCTGCAGAGATTTTAGTCAGTTTGGAGGTCTTAGCTCTTGCCTTTACGGAGTCCTTTTTGACCTATTTGTTTTCGACCTACACATATCCCATACTTGAAAAAGTACGAGAGTCATAAGTGGCATTAATAACAATTGGCGTAAACATAGAGAGATCCACCAGACGATCCACTAAAATCCAGGATTTAGTGTCTTTAACACTTTCCCACATGTCTTCCTTGAACCATTCTTCCCAGTTGATATGATATTTCCTAAGTAAACAATAAAGAACAAACACATCACGAGTAGAGATATTACTCAGAGATCCGTTCCTGGGAATGAGAGAGGTTGTAACTATATGAGCCAAGATGCGATTCTCGAAGGAGAGAGACAGAGGCCCAAAGTCTGATAGGTCAGAGTCGGGTTCAACGACGACTCTCTTAGCACCTTCTAGAGAGACTTCAAAGTCATCAGGCCATATTTCGTTCATATATGGAATAAAACCAAACAAATTTGTACCAAAAACATCTTCAAACAATAGGTTATTGACTATAATGCGATTTCCCAACACCAGAGTTTCCAACTCACCACTATCAGAAGATATGTGAAGATTCGACTTACCTGCACGTTAGTAGAGTAGATAAACAGTAATAATAATGTGCTGTAAGTAAAAACACAACTAATTTTTAAATAGGTTCTGAACACCGATGTGGTGCCTATGTCCAGTCCCCTTGGGTTTCAAGGAATTCCTTTAGAGCTTAGGAATGAACATCGGATGTTACTGGGTTCTGTAAATTGATCCTTTCTGATATACAAATCAGATGTTCTACCTTGACACTTCCTCCACTTGTAAATCTACACTTAGAATCTTTCTTTCTATTTTCTTTTCAATTGTTCAAATCACGTGATTACAAAGCTTTATGAAAGATAAAAGAAGATTACACTATAAGATCAAGTGCAGTTGCGTCCTTCACACTTAAGTCTGACGGAGGTATGAATAGAGTTGTGCTTTTGTAAGAAACACCCAAGAGTGTTATGTTTCAATCAGGGATTTGACGAATCCCTTGATTGAGGCGATTTGTTAATCCATGTCCATATTAAATATGTTCATGGTAAATCACATTTCTTCTTTCTTGACTGATATGGCTTGATTTTGTGCTTGGCTGGAAGATTTATCTTGACTCTTGGCTTGATATGCTTTCCTTCCTTCTCTTGGTGACTTTGCTCTATTCTTGGTTTGATTTGTGATTTCTTGATCTCGTCCTATCAATCAAGATTAGCTTGATTGAGCTGCTGTCAGTTTTAGGCCATCTGTTATTGATTCTCAATCCCTTTGATTATGCCGTTCCTTTCTGTAGTATTTGTAAGGATCAAAATATATCTATTTCCATGTTAGTGTTGTTTTCTTGGATCCTTTCATTATTGGATTTCGTTGCTTATGAGAATTGTGAGTAATTGTTAAGTGTCATTTATCAAAATTTACTAACACTACGGAGCTAACAATCACCCCCATTTCTATAATGACGATTTATTCACAATTTTAAATAGAGTGTAGAGAGACAATGATAATTACCTGAGATAAGGATGTATGTGTAGCTCCCCCTGTATATGTGGCTCCCCTTGCCTTGAGAGCCTCATAAATATGTTGAACGGATTCCCCTGTCTTCAGAATTGTGGCAAGTTTTTCCCCCTTTGGCATAATGAAAAAGAACAAGGCATATAATATAAACAGAAACAGGTAAAATCAACTTAAAGTAGAGTGGTCAAGAGGTAAGATTGTCCTTAGGAAACAGTCCAAAAGAGAGATTTAGGGACAGACCCCCATTGAAACAAGTCCAAAACGAGTAGTTAAAATAAGCATTCAAAAGCCAGAGGTTAGCGATCACCCAAAAAGTACTTTAGGGTGTTGATGTTTTTCCCACAAAAGGAATTTTAAGAGCATTCCACATTTCGTGAGAGACTGGAGTAAGAGGTCTGAACTGTAACTGCAAGATCATTGTTAGAGGAGGTGACTCCACTTTTGAGAGAGTCAACTTGTCTTATAAATTTTATGATTGTGGAGATCCCTTCATGTTTAATTCCAGTCATAGCAGTGCGCAGTTTACCCATATCGGTGGTAGCGTCCTTCTGTAGGCGAAAAACCTTTTCAACAGCATCGTGGAGAGTCTCCAATCCATGTTCTACTCCAAGAAGCCTGGTTTGGAGTTCCTCATTGTCCTGCATCAGGAGGGCAGCAGAGTCTGCAGAGATTTTACTCAGTTTGG